TCTTGTTGTGGTGCTCAAGTATTTTATAAATTTTAGTTTTAAGTCCCTTATCTGACATGTCACTCCCAAATACTTTTTCCCAGTCTGTGGCTTCCCTTTTTACCCTGTTGGAGAAGTTTTTGGATTTGCATAGGGATTTGATTCTTAGAAGGTCCCATTCATCTATTTTTTCTTCTCCTGGTTGTAGATTTGGTGTATCTCACTTCTAAACACCATTAGTAGAAAGACAAATACAAACCAAGATGAGCTCTCCTCTGGGGCAATCATTCTCTCTAGAAATGATAGGGTTACTAAGCAGAGAGTTTTATTCTCAGGTTCAAGGTCTAGTCCTCAGCAATGCTATTTTTGTTATGCCAGTATTTTCTTTTACTATATATTATTTTTTTTATTGTTGCATATTTTATTCATCCCTTTCCTCCCTCAGCCGACCGCAGCAACACTGTTTTCTTTCTGACCTTAATAGTGGTATGTCTAAGGAACAACTGGGAGTTGGGGAGCAGCTTTAAATCCTCTTATAACTCTGTCAGCTCCAATGCTCGCTGATGTGACATCTATTCAATATTAAGCAATATAACAATTGTCATTGTATGACATCTTGGACATGTTCATAAACCCTTTTAAGTCTCAGTTCCTCCATTTCTAAAATAAGATAAGATACATCCAACTCAGGTTTGGCTTAAATGAGATAATGTGTGTAAAGCACTTATTATAGTGATAGGTCTTGGCAACCAACATCGAGAAGACAAAGATTCTCACCACTGGGCCAACTAGCAGCACAATGATTGATTGAGAAGAGATTGATGTTAAGAACTTCAGCTTGCTCAAATTATACAAGCAACACTCTTGACAACAGCAGTTAAAAAATCAAAATATGACAAAAAAACAAACCAACCAACAAATAAAACAACCCCACAAAAAAAATCAAGCAAACAAACAAAGGGATCTCTGGTGGCCTAGTAGCAAGAAGCTACACTGCAATTCCAGAGGTATGCAGTTCGAATCCAACAGATGTTCTGCTGGAGAAAGAGGGGCAATCTCCTCCTGTACCACATCCAATCTAATGATATACACAAACAATAATAAAATAAAATTTAAAAAAGTAAACAAACAACAAAAAAATTAAAATACAAATTGCATTGGGGAAACCTGTTGTTGAGCATTTCTCCAAAGTGCTAAAAAGCAATGACAGTCTGGAGACTATGGTGCACCTGATTCAGGCCATGGTCTTTACAATTACTTGGTATACATCAGAGAGCTGGACAATGACTAGGGATGAGAGAAAAAGAATTGATGCCTTTGGGTTGTGGTACTGGAGAATAGTATTGAACATAATATGGAGAAGAGCACAGGTCTGTCCTGGAGAGGGTGAAACCAGGCTCCTCCTTGGAGGCAAGGATTTTGAAGCTCCATCTCACATACTCTGGGCATGTGGGTAGGAGGGACCAGTCCCTAGAGAAGGACATCATGCTTGGAAGGGTGGAAAGATAGAGAAGAAGAGGAAAACCTTGGATGAGACTGACTGACACAGTGACTGGGGCAATGGAGGTAGGTGTGTAGGAGATAGTAAGACTGGCTCAGAGTTCAGAGGTGTTGTATATAGGGTCTGTATGCACCACAGGTGACTCGAAGACACATGACAACAACAATATATAGTTGACAATTAATATGTATTTACTACCTTTCGTTGAAAATGAAGCAGTAAGATAAAGACAGAATTTGAAACAAAACACATCCTGGATCTAAGGCAACTTCTCTTCATCTCTCAAGAACAAGTTATCATAAACTTTGTCCTTTCTACTGCATTTTCTTGAAATTCTCCCCAAGATGTCAAGGCTTTGGGTAGAGTCAGGGAAATCTAGCTGGACAATTAGAGCATAGGGTAAGTTCTTGAAGGACAGGAACTCAGTGGCTCCTAGGTACATAGCTGGTTGTCTGATTCTAGGGCATCCCTACGGTTTGTGTCCTGGGTTTGCAACACTTGGACAAGCAGGTTTTTACCCAGAGCAAATGGCTTACTTGGTGAGAGAGGAGGAGGATGGGAAAGTAACTACTGAAGCCTGACCTGGTTTTCAGCAAGGACCTTCCTTCAGTCAATCAGCCAGTCAGTCAGTCAAACAATCTGCCCAAAATTTAGGCCACCCAGGATTTACACAGGGCGTTTCCCTATTACCCAGAACAACCTGCTGACAAGAATAGATCGTAAATGGAACATATACACACTATGCTTATTCACAGCTCTTATCCTTACACACTCACACATACACTCTCACAATCACAACTGTAAACACACACACACACTGGCCAGAGCTTACAGTTCTCAATCCTTTTGCTTCATCTACTCTATCTCTGCTGTCCGATCCCCATCTCAAAAAAATCTAAGAGCTTTAAAAAGATATTGGGGTGTGGGGGGAAGACTACATGTACACAAAGGAACCATTCATTCTCCTAAGTGGTGAAGTCAGTCCCTAGAATTCCAGACTCTTAAGGAGTCCCAGGGGACTTGGATACAACATAGAACTGGGGCTACACTTTGATAAGCATGCCTGGCATATACATCCATTCCACACTGACCCAATCTGAGCATTGTTATTGAGCTCAGTCCTTTCTTTGGCTTAATGTGGCTATGGGAGGAATGTGTGATGGAATGGCTGGTGGGGGAGGGGGAGAGTTGTGTGTTCAAATGCGCCTATCAAAGTAAGATCAAGATTGAGGTCAAAGGAAGGCCAACACTAGACTCTATTCCTGGGTTCCCAAGGGCCAGACAGCCCCAGGCCTTCCTCCTTCCCTTGGTGACTTCATATCCCATACTCTGCCCTCCCAGCAGCTGCTGGAGGAGAGAGGAGCTGAAAGAACTAGAAGCAGAGGGAGATGCTGCATCTTCATTCTTCTATATACTTCTCACCAGGGGTGGAAGACTCCAGAATTCCTTGTCAGTCAGGGAGAAAAAGGGGAGTCCTATATAAGAAGTGCAGGAGGGAACAGAGGGGACAGCCTCCTTTGCCTCCTCCCATCCAGCCTCATCCTTCATGCTGCACACAGGCTGCAAAACAACCCAGATTCTTGCCAAGAGTAGTTGGATTGAATAACAGCTCTCAGTGCTTCTGTTCCCTCCTCCCTCTCATGGCTATAAAACTCAGGGAGGGAATCTTGACCCCTGGCCCATCCCTATGCACAAGTGGAACAGAGAGTGAGCAGAACCATAAGGCAGGGAACAGGGCTATGGACTTTGGAGAGGATCCAGGCCAATTACAGGGAGGATGCCAGTGGTGGTGCTAGTGCTAGTGGACATGCCAGGGGCCCTCTTTTTGAACCTACTCTTAGTAGACGCCGGACTCCCGGCCCCTGCTCTGATATTGAGTCCAGAAGAGCAGGTCGCTTTGGGCACCACAGTTCACCTCCCAGCTTTTCCTTCAAAGCCCAGCAGGAGGGAGAGGTGGAGGCGGAGTGAGCTCAAAACCAAGTTTTCCTGAAAAGCCTCTTCTCTTGTTTGTTCTAGCCCCTCCCAGCCCTTCCCACACTCTGCTGCATTTTCCCAGCTGGGCCAAAGGGCTAAAGCAGTCTAGAGAAAGATTTATGACCCTTTTTCTCCTGCTTTTCTTGGGGGCAGGAGAACAATGCTTAAACCCTGTTCATCTGCAGGAGGCTTTCTTCTGTTGGGAGTTGGAGAGCCAGTGGCCAAGCCAGCTGTCCAGCTACCTTTCCTTCAGTCAACCTCACTGTCCTCAAACTTGCTTCTTCTTTTCATGATTGCCTTCACCTCTCCCTTTCTTCTTTGGTGGTGTTACCTTGGCTTCCTTCAGCTCTAGGGGCTGCCTATGAGCAAGTAGAGAAGGACTCCCTGTGTGAAGAAAACCGTCCCTAGGAGCCCTGGAGCTAAGGAGAAATTACCAGGAAGCAGCAGGTGGCTCAGGTCCACTTGGTTGCTTGAAGGAGTGGGTCTCATTTCTCCTCCCACATTCCAAGTCCTCTAACATTACCAAGCTTTACCTGCGACCTGCTTTCATCAACAGAGCAATTGCTGCTCTGAAGGGAGATGCTGACAATTTTGTAACCCAGGTTTCACTTGCTAGTCTGTGGGTCTTCCTGATGTTTAGGGTGGAAACTAGCAATCGAGGTCTGACCTTGCGATGGTCCACTTATTCTCCCTCTCCCATTGATTCTTAGATTCCTATTCCTCATCAGTAAAGGCAGGGAGTGTTAAAAGATGATCTTCATTTTCAGTTGAGAGTTATGATTTTCTGTGGAATTAATCTATTACTGTCATGCACCCTGTGTGTGAGTGCTATCATTCCACCACCCCACCCCCACCCTTGCCTCATTTCTGACCCTATTACTTTAGGACTTCAACACACTATCACCATACAGTTCCCCTCCCCTGTCCTTTTAATTTCATAGACAAAGGGAAATGACTCACCACAAAGTCACCTCAAGTGGGAGGAGTGGGGTCAAACAAGCAACAGGGAGTCCCTAGGGACATCCCCACCCCCATGGCAACTCCTTTACCTGGGGGTGTTCTTCAGAGAAGTGGGAAAAGGGGTCACAGTTCCTTTCCTTCTCTGGACTTGGCCCTGGAGCCAAAGGCAGCCTAAGCGCCTGACTCCAGCATACTGTCTCACCCCTGCTTATCGTCTCTCCTCGTGTCACCAATAACTTCAGGCCGAGGTCAGCTCCGCAATCACGTGAAGCCCTCACGTTTGCAAGGTTTGCAGAAAAGGCCTGTTAGCTTTGATCTCCCAGGGTGCAACTAAGCTTGCCAGTCACTCCCCAGGAATTCACATGCCCCTGCCATACAGGCTTGCCAGACACATCACTCTGACTCTTTAGCGTACCCCACCCTATCCTGTGATCTTCCTTGTTCCCAGGACGAGCTTCTGCAAGGCAGAAAGGCGGTAATAGCCGCAGACCACCCGCTTTGTCATTGGACTACAAATCCCGAAAGTCTCGGCGTCGCGCAGGCGCATTCAGCTCAACGTGCCTGCTGCTCGAAAAGTGTGTCACTGGGGCACGAGGCGCTCCCTGGGATCACATGGTACCTGCTCCAGTGCCGCGTGCGGCCCGGGAACCCTGGGCTGTTGGCGCCTGCGCAGATCCCTCTGTCCCAGGGAAAGAGGCTCGGGCAAAAGGCGGCTGAGATTGGCAGAGTGAAATATTGCTGCTGAGGGAACGTAGCAGGGCACACGTCTCGCCTCTGCGCCTGGGTGCCCTTTTTCTTCTCATCACCTACTTACTTCCTGGCTGCAATCTCTCTCCCTCTGGGACTTTTGCACCGGCAGCTCTACATTCGCTACCCTGCAGCGCTGCGGAGCCTTCCGGCAGTGGCACTCAGTGCGCTGCAGAGAGCCAACCCTCCCTGCTGCTACCTTCTAGTGAGAACTACTGCAGGCTGATTCCCCCCAACTCTGTCTCTTTGCTCTTCCCATGCAAAGCAGACCTACGTTGCCTCAGCGTCCTCCCCTTCTGCAGGGCTGCAGTCCGGTCACCCTAAGACCTTGCAGCAGGGTGCTCCAGATCCTGATCATAAGCAGCGGGGTCCTTTTCCCGCTCTCACTCAGTACCCAGGGGGTGACAGCGGCAATTGAAACCTCCAGTTTGCATCAAGGTCCAGTTTGAATGACCGCCCTCATTTGGTGAAGACATGACGACCCTGGACTCCAACAACAACACAGGTACGGAGATTCTTTCACTGTTTTTCTGTTGTGATCTTGCACCTAATAGCAAGAACTTTGTTAAGGAACTGGGGACTTGTTCAGTCCGGGGATTTGCTAACGAGCTGAGAAACTTTAGGCAGATTGTTCCAATTGGGGATGCGCCAAGGGATGCCCTCACTGTTTAAAAGAGTTCCAAAACCTCCTTTGAGCTTGAAAGGCCCAGTTCCCCAAAAGGAGGAGATGGTAGAGCTGGTGTGAGAGGAACAGTTTAGGGGGCCTGAGAGTTTTGGAGCAGTGCCCTGAAATGTTCCATTTGTCCACCCGCTGCGGCTGTGGCTTGTCTGACCTTCCTCTTACAGGTCTCCTGCAAGCTCCAGCACATTTGAGAGGCAGTGGGGCGGTTGGGACTCTGGGCAAGGAGGGGCTTGATCTCACTAGGGAATCCTCAGTGACAGTAAGGAGCGATCCTTGAGGAGTCCGGAGAGTGGTGATCTGCCCCAGGAGGGCACCTACAGAGCCTAGGCAGCTGGCAGGGCTCACATGGCTGCGGAGCCGGGCCCACGTGCTGCGTTTGTTTTCATTCAGCAGAAGCCGTGGCCCGCACCCCATTGGTCGTTGCCTCCCGGCCCCGTTACATAATGAGCTCCGCCCCTCCGGTCGCCAAGGCAACGCGTGTTCTCCGCTCCCCTCCCCTCGGCCGTCTCGGCCCAGCTCGCGCTCCCTGCCCAGCCCACCATTGGGCGGGGCGGGGCAGGGGCGGGGCTGCAGCTGCCGGCTGACGGGAAGCGCAGGGGGCGGGGTGTCGAGTTCCGGGGTTCCTCGTTGGGAAGCCACGTGCGAGAGGCACACGTGGAGCGGGGACGTGAGGCCGGCTGAGGGCCTGGCTCTCGCCCCGCCCCGCCGAGATCTGGGCGAAGCTAGACTGAGTCACCCACCGTCCCCGCCTGCCTCCTTTCCTATCCGCCTGCCCGCTCCCTTCCCGCCACTGAGGGAGAGTTAGATGGGGCCCCTGACCCCTCTTGGTCTCCAGTTTACATTCCCAATGGGGGCCTCACACCCTATCCTCTTTCCCCCCAACTCCTTTCTTCTGTATCCTGTTTGCTGTTGACTTCTCTGTCTTTAAATTCAGCTTCTCCACATTCCAAATTCTTGTTCCAGAACTTCTTTTCTTAGTCTTGCAAACCACCTCTTCAGCAAATCAGCAACAGTTTACCTTCTGAGGAGGTCCTCATAATCATAATCCATAATCCAGAATCATAGAGAAGAAGATTTTAAGTGGCTTTAATATATATTTTTTAAAAAATAATTATTGTTTCTGCTACAAAAAGTGAGACTCAGGAGAGTTGATTTCCTTTAGGTCACACAGCAAGTTGGTGGTGATAGATCTAAATTTAAAACTACATTCTTTTGAGCATGCCCCTCCCTTCCAGGTTTTAAGTATCTTTGAAGGTCTCACTCCCCTTTTGGAGAAGAGTGAACTAGGTCAAGTTTTACCACCAGTAAGCATCCCATCTCCCCACCCCAGCCCTGAAACTGTAGGAGCTCATCTGTTGTGAAACTATTTTACAGGGAGCAGGGGTTCACCCTGACCAACCTTGAGCTATTTTAAGACAGTCCCTGCCCAGCTTAGTGTGTGTCAGTGGGTGAGCAAGACATGTGCTTCTGCAGACACGGTGGCTTGGTGTGTGTCAACTCACACGTGTCCTGGGATCCTCCCTTCTCCTACCCCGCCCAGGGCAGGCCAAAGTAGGTACTTGGCAAAGATGTAGCACCTGGGTCACCTTTTTCTCCTGCTAATACCATGGGAATACAGTCACCTGGTTAGCAGTGTAATCGAGGACCAAAGTTCCTGAGTAGCCAGAGAGCCAAGGTCATTGTCAGCAGGCTGGAGAATATGTACCTCCACCTCTGAAACTTCTATTACTTGATTTGTCCTAAACTCAGAGGTAGAACGACACATTGTGCTGAGGCCAGGGGGACCAGCTGGGCAGGCTTATCCCCTTTAGCGTTTTTAGAGGAGACAGATGTCTCCAGTTTTAAGGGAATATGACCAGATTTCCATTCCTCTTGTAAGTTCTCCACTTTCCTATTTGCTTGCAGTCCCTTCTCTCACCATGGCCTCCTCCCTGGAGTGCTGGGGACATTAACACTGCAGCTGTTTTTCAGAGGCCCCAGTATTGTGAAAGGTCCTCCACTGCTCCAGCAAACCCTGCTCTGCCATTGACAGCTAAGTCATGAGCTACCATGGTTGTTCCAGAGCAGAGGGGACATGTGTGACATGTCCACAGGGGTCTTGCCTCCAAGGAGGTGCCTCATGTGTAAGCCATAAGCTGAATGTATGCTATGAAGGGTTATGGGTGTTAGTTGGCTAGGTCATTATCTAATAGAGGTTGGCAAGCTGTTTATTGTGGCTTTTCTGGAGATAGCAATATTAGGCATTGTCCATGGTTAAACTGCCCAACAGTGGTTTTGGGATGAGCACAGTGGTGTCCCAGGATCAAAGACATTTACGGCTGACACCCCCTTCCCTTGTGTTCTCCCACCAGGTGGTGTAATCACCTATATTGGTTCCAGTGGCTCCTCCCCGAGCCGCACCAGCCCGGAGTCTCTCTACAGTGACAGCTCCAATGGCAGCTTCCAGTCCTTGACCCAAGGCTGTCCCTCCTACTTCCCACCATCACCCACTGGCTCCCTCACCCAGGACCCAGCTCGCTCCTTTGGGAATGTTCCACCTAGTCTGAATGATGACTCCCCTTCTTCCTCCTCCTCCTCCTTCTATAATGGGAGCCCACCAGGGAGTCTACAAGTGGCCATGGAGGACAGCAGCCGAGTGTCCCCCACCAAGAGCAACAGTAACATCACCAGTAATATTACCAGTGAGCAGATATTCTGATCATTTGAGGGAGGGGAAGGTAGCAAGGGCTTGGTTGGGAGATGGTTTTCACATTATACCATCTGAGGGCCTCCCCTAGCTTCAGGGACTCTTCCTAGAGCTGTACCAGCCCCACTCCAGTTTGGTCATTCAAGTGCCCCCTGGATCTTGGTGCTCCTCCTTGGCTTCTCCCTCCTAGAATCTCCCACCCAGAACCTCTCCACATTTTTACCCCCTGAGGTAGCACTTCTGCCCCTTTCCACAGAACTGAATGGCATGGTGTTACTGTGTAAGGTGTGTGGGGACGTTGCGTCCGGCTTCCACTACGGTGTGCATGCCTGCGAGGGTTGCAAGGTGAGACAAGTTGGGGATGAGGGCAGGGGCAGGTGGCCATTCTCCCAGGACACATCAGCTTGGCCTAGACAGAGATGCTCATGAGCCACCCTTGCCCTCCAGGGTTTTTTCCGTCGAAGCATCCAGCAGAACATCCAGTACAAAAAGTGCCTGAAAAACGAGAACTGCTCCATCGTCCGCATCAATCGCAACCGCTGCCAGCAGTGTCGGTTCAAGAAGTGTCTCTCCGTGGGCATGTCTCGAGATGGTGAGGCAGCACTGCTGTCCCCAAAACATCCCCACACTCACCCCCTTCCATTCACTCCAAGTTTCTCAATTCATTCCTTTTCTAACATACATAAAGTCCCAAACCAACACCTTTCATACTGGGTCTCATTAGCTTGGGGGATGCTTGGAGTTCATCCTGTAGGATTGCACACACTTCTTTCCCATTGGCCTCTCTGACCACCTCTAGCCTCATCTCTCTGGAAAACCCCCTCGATGGGTGTGGCCTTGCTGACATTAGTTCAGACTCCATACTCTCAGGCCTTTAAGGTCTTTGCCTTTTCAGGAGGAAGGAAGAGAAGCTTGTGAGTGTGTATGGGAACTTCCTGACAGTGTTCTCATCCTGTTACAGCTGTGCGTTTTGGGCGCATCCCTAAACGGGAGAAGCAGCGGATGTTGGCTGAGATGCAGAGTGCCATGAACCTGGCCAACAACCAGTTGAGCAGCCAGTGCCCTCTGGAGAACTCACCCACCCAGCATCCCTCTCCAGGCCCCATGGGTCCCTCACCACCTCCAGCTCCAGCCCCCTCACCCTTAGTGGGCTTCTCCCAGTTCCCACAACAGCTGACACCTCCCCGATCCCCAAGCCCTGAGCCTACAGTGGAGGATGTAATATCCCAGGTGGCCCGCGCCCACCGAGAGATCTTCACCTATGCCCATGACAAGCTGGGCACAACACCTGGAAACTTCAATGCCAACCATGCATCCAGCAGCCCTCCGGCCACGACCCCACATCGCTGGGACAGCCAAGGCTGCCCACCTGCCCCCAATGACAACAATGCTATGGCTGCTCATCGCCATAACGAAGCCCTGAATGGTCTACGCCAGGCCTCCTCTTCCTACCCACCCACGTGGGCTCCTGGCCCTGCCCACCACAGCTGCCACCAGCCTAACAACAATGGGCACCGTCTTTGTCCCACCCACGTGTATCCAACTCCAGAGGGAGAGGCACCTGCCAACAGTCCTCGGCAGGGAAACTCCAAGAACATTCTGCTGGTGAGGGCACTGGGGGTGAGGTGGGCAAGAGGCCTAGAAGAATGGACTTAGTAGAACACAGCTGGGTGTGGCTGGAGGCTAAATGTGGGGATATCCTCTTTCCCTGGGAGGATGCCCTGCACTGCATTCAGGTCTCTGTCCAGAAGTCCCTGATGCCCACTTAGTATCAGCCTATTTGACCTGAAAAACTCACCCTCCAGGATCCCGTCTTAGCCTGGGCAGGATGTGGGGCCCAGTTTTGCTAAGTGAGTCCATTGGAGTCAGCCTGGGTGACAGTTTTCTCCCCCAACCGCTCTCCTCCTCCAGGCCTGCCCCATGAACATGTACCCACACGGACGCAGTGGGCGAACTGTGCAGGAGATCTGGGAGGACTTCTCCATGAGCTTCACGCCTGCCGTGCGGGAGGTGGTGGAGTTTGCCAAGCACATCCCTGGCTTCTGTGACCTTTCTCAGCATGACCAGGTCACCCTGCTTAAGGCTGGCACCTTTGAGGTGAGTAAGCCTTTATGGGCCCTGCTCTTGATTCTGGCAAGGATTTGGCAGAAAGGTTAGATGACTGAGGTGAGCAGGGAATCTGAAAGGCTTTGGAACCCCAGTACGTCTTTAGACTTTCTGACTATGTTCTCATCTGAACGAAGGGGAAACATCTCTTCTACTCCTATATGTGGGTGGCTGGGATTTTTGTCATCTCAGTTGAAATTTAATCCTAACCCCTTAGAATACATCATTAGTGTGTCCTAGATAAAAACAAACTTTTAATGTTATAGGGAGATTCAGAAAAAGTATTGGTCTCTTAAGATCAGCAGAATGTTCCCCATCTTTCCAACTGGCCTCTCTCCATTCAGAAACTGTCCCCCCTTTAGTGAGACATCCCCCCTTTACTGAGACATCCATGGCAGTGCCTCGAAGCCCTCTGACACCTTCAGGGTGACTTGACAGGTACTCCTCCCATTCCACCCAGACGTGACTTGTGCCCACCCTTTAGGTGCTGATGGTGCGTTTTGCATCACTGTTCAACGTGAAGGACCAGACAGTGATGTTCCTGAGCCGTACTACCTACAGCCTGCAGGAGCTCGGCGCCATGGGCATGGGAGACCTGCTCAATGCCATGTTTGACTTTAGCGAAAAGCTCAACTCCCTGGCGCTTACCGAGGAGGAGCTGGGCCTCTTCACCGCAGTAGTGCTTGTCTCTGCAGGTAGGTCAAGCTTTCACCTGACCCCGGGGAGGAGGCGGACGCAGTTCAATTTAACACACCTTTTATGGAATACCTATTCTATGCCAGGCCCTGCACCAGGCACTGGGGATACAGACATGATTAAGACACAGTCTAGCTTAGGAGACAGACTCATGCCCAACTAATTATAAAACAGTGAGATAAGTGTCACAGCAGAAGCATGAACCAAGGGCTTTGGGAGCACAGACAACTATTTCTGCCTGGGGGAGCTGGGAAAGAAGGTGATACTTGAGTGGGGCTTTAAAAGACAAGTAATATGTTGCCAGGCAGAGAAAGGGGGAAGGGCATCCCATGCAGAGGAAACTACAGAGCCAAAAGCAAGGGAGCCTGGGCAGTTGGGCCTGTTCAGGGGAGGAGAGTGGATTTGGGGGTGGGAGGTGACCTCCCTTGCTGAGCCTTGCTCCCAGCAATCAGGGGGCCTCCTGTTCTCTGGGCAGAGGCCTGGGAGAAGGGGTTGAGCTCCTCCCTTCTCCTTCCTCAGGGGCCCACTGAGGGGCTTCAGGGAGAGGCTGCATTGCTGGGCAGGGCAGGTCCTCATCACCTTCCTCAGGGGCCTCCTGAGGGGCTTCAGGGAGAGGCTGCATTGCCGGGCAGGGCAGGTCCTCTTCTCCTTCCTCAGGGGCCTGATGAGGGGCTTCAGGGAGAGGCTGCGTTGCTGGGCAGGGCAGGTCCTCCGAGACCTCCATTTCCTCCTCCTCCTCAGAGGAGCTCAAGGAGGAGTCTGCCTCATCACTGCTGTCGTCTTCCCCACAGACCGCTCGGGAATGGAGAATTCCGCTTCTGTGGAGCAGCTCCAGGAGACGCTGCTGCGGGCTCTTCGGGCTCTGGTGCTGAAGAACCGGCCCTTGGAGACTTCCCGCTTCACCAAGCTGCTGCTCAAGCTGCCGGACCTGCGGACCCTGAACAACATGCATTCCGAGAAGCTGCTGTCCTTCCGGGTGGACGCCCAGTGACCCGCCCGGCCGGCCTTCTGCCGCTGCCCCCTTGTACAGAATCGAACTCTGCACTTCTCTCTCCTTTACGAGACGAAAAGGAAAAGCAAACCAGAATCTTATTTATATTGTTATAAAATATTCCAAGATGAGCCTCTGGCCCCCTGAGCCTTCTTGTAAATACCTGCCTCCCCCCACTGAGCTCCGCCCCCAGCTTCCCCTCCTCCCCTATTTAAACTTCTCTCTCTCCCCCCACCCCCAGCCCTCTATTCCAACCCCCTGACTTGTTCTGTTCCTGTCTCAAATCCAATAGTTCACAGCTGAGCTGTCTTCTGTGGTTGTGTGCTCGTTTGGGGGGAGGGGTGGCACTACTGCCAAGACTGAGGGGAACCCTCTCCATCTGGTCAGTTTATGGGCTGGGTACTCTGCCAGCAGATGGGAGGGTCCAGGGAAGCATCACACAAGTCTAAGGGGGGGTGCTCAAGGGGGTTATTTTCATCATATATTTATTACATAAATATATAGTAAAATAGACGAGCAACAATTACCATAAAAATATCTTTCTTTAAAATCCTGACCCAAAACACAACGGGGTGAAAAATCGCACATAACAGACATACTGATTGTCAACGTGGGGCAGGAGTAGAAGCCCCTGCCAAGTCACCCCTACCGGTCCCCCCCTCCCTGGGGCAAGGACCTACCTCCTTCCCTGTTTCTGGCCACAACTCCCCTCCCCCCACCCCAGCACCAGCTTCTCATACATTCAGTAGCGCCTCTGGGCAGTGCCCCCCTCCCCCAACCCAGGAGTTCCCAGGGCAGGAAGTCCTGTCCCCATTATGGACGGTGTCTATCTCACACGCCCTGCCCTCTCCCAGCCCTGGAGACCCGCCACCAGGGGTTGGGGTAGGGGGCTCCTCCTCCCCCACCCTCCCCAAGTCTGAGCAGGGAGGAGGCTGGATGAGGTATGTGTGTTATGAGTGATGGGAGGGAGAATACTGAGATGGAGAGGCGGGTGGTTGGGGCAGGGTAGTGGTCATGGCTCTGGCACCCCCTTTGTCCTGGCCTGGCCCCCTCATCCTCTTCCCAGTGGCCCCTCATCCCACCAATACTGCACCTGCTGCCCCACCCTGCCTGCCCTAGTGCCCCGGGCCAATACTGGGGGAGGCTTGCTAAGCACCCATGTCAAGGCCACCCCCTCATTAGCACCAATGGCCCCCAGGAGAGGGCCCTGTCCCCTACTTCCACAGCAGGGACTGGGACAGCTGCCTCTCTAGAGCAGGTGTGGCGCTCCTGAGTCTCCTTGGCTCCCCCCACCCCCACGACATACACTCACTCACACTCACACACACACACATTGAGAAACATACACATACACCCCGCATCACCAAGAGTGAGGGGGGAGGGTCGGGGTGGAGTGGGGGATCACAGCTCATATGATGGGGGAGAGAGGGATGGGGAAGGGGTTCCCAAACACCTATCAGAGACCAAGTCTCTTCAAGGCCTTTTTCCCTACCATGTCCATGGCTGAGAATGGGATGAAGGGGCGGGGACGGGGATGGTGGGATGAGGGAGACAGCAGACAGGTCAGGAGTTCCACTGGGCCCCCAGGGCTGGGAGGAAGATACATGAGGGCTTACCCATGGGGCTGGAGTAATAAAGGGATCAGATCGGTACCCCAGGAGAGAGAGAGGAGAGACAGACAAAGACAGCACAGGCAGCACACAGGCCCAAGAGGGGTGGGGCAGTCACATGCACAGGTGGTACTGGGTGCTTCTCCAGGCCCTCCACCCCGTGGAACACCTGAACCGTGGGGGAAGGCGATTGCCCTGAAGGGCAACATAGCTTTACCTTCCCTTGCATGCGTGCGTGTGCGTGTATGTGTGCGTGGGGGGCTGTGGCAGGCCAAGGGTCAGGGTGGGGTGGCAGGTTCCCCACTGCTTAAGACATTTTTGCCCCAATAGTGCAAAGCTCAGGAAGCCCTGGCACCCATCCCCCCGCCCCCCACCCCATTCCCCATGGCTTCCGGGGGCATCTATGTCCACCCATCCATCCCTGCCGACATGCAGCCCTGAGCCCAGGGCCCTCTGGTCTGCTCTGCCCACCACCCTGGGAGGGCCACCTCCTTCCTCCCTCTCTCCCCTAAGGACCAGGTAATAGCCTTAGGGGGGAGGAGGAGGGCAGCTCCCCAAGTGCAGACCAATAGAGCACTCCACACCAGGAGGGTGGGAGGTGGCTCAAGCCAAAGTCCCTGAATTAGAGAAAAGAGGGGGAAAGGGTCCCTGGGGCAGAGGGGCGGCTGCCCTAAAGAGCTTCAAAGAACTGTGGAGCACCAACCTCCCCCTTCCCCCCACCCCAGGGCCCCTGCTAAGTGCCATTTACCTCAGCACCCCCACTCTTGTGCCTGCCCGCCCAGGGTCTGGTTAGTGCATCAAGTGGGAATAGGGAGGAGGAGGGCAGAGGTGTTAGAGAGAGCCCAGAAGACAAACACGGGAGAGAGGGGTCCTGGAGAGGTGGGGGTTCTGAGAGATGCTCACACACACCCCCCACCCAATGCAGCAGCATCTGGATTGTAGCTAATACTGCAGAATGTGAGAAGGGTGGGAGCTTGAGCCACAGTCTTTCCTGCACGGGTGCCATGGTGGGAAGGGGCAGGGGGACAGAGGCAGGCCCCCGGGCTGGGCACTTGAAAGGGGAGCTGTGTGGGTGGCAGGGCAGGCTGGTGAGGGGCCAGCTGGCATCCAGCATGAGAGGTAGATGGAACTCAGCGGGCACAAGTGGCAGAGAGCACTGGGAGAACTGGAGAATTGGGTGGGGCAGATGGTGCCAAAGGGGCACAGTGGGAGGGGGCAAGGGTAACCAGGACCCTGTTGTGTTAACTCACAGCTCTGATCAGCAGCCCTACCACTGGGGATCTGGTGTGTGTAGGGGGGTGCATTTCCCTCTGATCTGGGGAGAGGAAGGGCAGCTCTCAAAGTGCATGGGGGCAGGAAGGGGAATTCTCCCCTCTGGCCAGCCTCGGTTAATAACTTAATATCATCTCTCTCTCTCTCTCTATCGCTCGCTCTCTCTTTTTTTTCTTTTTCTGACTAGTTTTTCTTCATTTATCTTCTTTCCCCCTTGCTTGGTTTCGAAAGTGCAGTTAGAATGACTATAATTTTTAACCTCCAGGGGAGGAACCACGCCAAGCCTTTCTGTGCACCCAGGCATCTGGGGAAGTCAAGGCCCGCAGCCTGAAGAGGGAACCTAAGCCAAGAATCTGAGAGGGGCTCTCTCTTGCGTGTGAGTGGAGGGTACCTCCCCTATCCCACCTTCTTCCTTCACCTAAGGTTAAGATGGCTTGTCCCCTCTTAGGTCTCCCTCCCTTCTCCCACCTTATGAAAGGAGAGGGGTCCTAGGAACTGCAGGGCATGGCTTCCTCCAACCCCCACACTGTCCTTTTCATAGTAAGTTCATTTGTTTGCCCTGTCCCAGGGCTGGAGGGTCTGAGGAGGGACCCGGGCAGTGCAGGGGTGTATAGGGGAGCTGAATCTATCCAAGGATGAGAGGAAGGAGAGAAGAGGTGTGGGGAGGTCTCCCTCAGCCCCCAGCTCAGCCCCTTCTCTCCAGGCTCCTCCCCACCAGCTCCGCACACCCTCTGGCCGCCTGAGGCTTTAGACTTCCTGATCCTCAAAGACCTCGAGGAAGAGTGGGGGGAAGAGTTCGGTGGGGCACTCGACTTTCATGTGGAGGAAGCGGCTGGCGTGGCAGGCCCCGATCATGCGGAGGTCAGTCACCTTCATCAGCAGCTTGGGCCAGAAGTGCGGAATGTTGTGTTTGCGGTGGTTGACGTAGTGCTCGAACGCCAGCAGGTACGCCTCCTGACTCTTCTCGATCTTGTCCACACACAGCAGGCCCGAGCGGTCTGTGGGGGAGGAAAGTGTGAGGGGGAAGTGACTGAGGGACTAGGAGACCAGTGGGTCAGACATTAGTGGGACTCAAGAGATCGGACAGAGGGGAGGGGACAGAGGCAGAGAAGCCAGAGAGCATGAGGGGAGACCCATATTAAGTGAGGTGCACAGGAGTGACCAGTGAGCTCAGAGAGGGACAGTAACAGGATGGGTAGGGGTATAAAGGCCACACACAGAGAAGAAAGTCTGGGAAGAAAGAAAACAGAGAGGTTGAGAAGGACTAGGGGGTAGAAAGTAGTAGGTGGTCAGAGAGGTAGGTGAGAATGGGGGATAGAGGGGATACTAGGGAACGAGAGATGGCAGTAAGATCCAGAAGAGGGCTGTGTGACAGCAGGTGGGTGGAAGAGAGTGGGGAATGGGGACAAAGTGAGGATGCAAGTAACCAACAGGGGAGGGGGTTAGAAAGAAAGAATAGAAGCAAAAAAGTAGTAGAGTGAAGGATCTGAGAGGCAGACTAGAGAAAGAGATGAGCAGAGAGAGCAAAGGAGAGGACAGGATGTGTGGCAAACCAAGGAATGGGGGACAGAGATGAGCCTGGATGAAAGAGGAAGTAAATGTGAAGGACAGAGAAGTGGCAGAGAGGGAAGACAGGGAAGGCAGAGAGGTGGAATTAAAAGGTAGAGAAATAGGCTCAGGGGACAAAGAAGCTGAAGGTCAGAGACTATAGGAAGAGAGCAACAGGCCCAGGGTACAGCCAAGCCCAGGGTCCCTGGAAGCTTCTGGGCCCTCCCGGCCAATCAGCAGGTACCTGTTGACATTAGCAGCACAGCCTGCAGCAGAGCCACTTCCGTGTCATCCAGGTTAAAGGCAGAGAGTGACTTGCCCAGTTCAAAGATGGCGTCGGAGACTACGCCCAGGCCGCCATTCTTGAGCTGCTCCCGCTTGACAGCCATCTCCCCACTCAGCGTCAGGGTGTCGCTTTCGGGGTCATAGCGGACAGCCGCCCGCAGGGACATGATCTCCATGCAGCACCCTTTCAGGAGGATGATCTGGTCTTCGCAAGGCAGCTGCAGAGTGGCAAGGCCACAGGAATGCTCAGCATCCCTCCCTCCCCTGCCCCGTCCGTCCCTGGCTCTCCCTCTTTGGGGGCCCTTGACAGCTGCAAGCCAACCAGGGCACCCTTGGCCTCAGCCAATAGCAGGCACTCTGAACACTTTAACCCCGTACTGAGCCTAGTACTCAGGCAGTTCCATTTAAATCTGACAGTGCTGTCTGTGCATCAGCACCCATCATAAGCTCCACTATGCAAGTGAAGACACTGAAGTCTGAGGTAACTCAGTCAAGGTCGCAGTCAATGCTGCTGCGTTGATTTTTACACATGGAGACCCATGTGTGCAGGCAATAACTACTGATAGGGTCTTCAAGTCTGTAACTTTTTGCAAGGTC